CGTAGGGATTATTGGACACGTTGGAGATAGTTCTAGAGGCTTGGGCATGGAGTGTCGTTGAGTTGTCCTCTGTTCTGAGTTCAGACATGTCAAGATGGCCCAACAATTCCGGGCCCGGTACCATCTTTTCTGGATCGCGATCGGCGGCGTTGTTCTTGAACTCGGTGGTAAACTCGAACACTTCGACCATGGAGCGCTGTGAAGCGACAAGAACTACAATAATCGATGGATACATTGCCTGCGGAAAGTCATCAGTCGGCGCTGAGAAAGAACAGACGGAGACATACAGTGAGGACATCTGCCATTTGAGTGATAAAATTGTATGCAATGTCTGCTGGCGAGTAGGGCTTGAATGGTGCAAGAAAAAGAGCTAGACTGAGTGCCTGTGGACATGTTAGAGTTAATACGGAGAGCTTGTTAATGACATATATGACGGACCTGGATCGTACAGTAGACCAAACCGGATTCCACGAGCACGAGCATGACCTTCGAAACAGGCGATGTCAACTTCCGCTGGAGGCCCGCGTCTCTCCAAGATCGCAGATGGGCCCTACATAGGACGAATTAGCAACGAGGGATGGACATGTTATTAGTTTGCATGTTCTTACCAAAGTCGGTAAAGGATCAGGATGGTGGAGACAGCGTTTGTGACCAACGAAAGAGCCAAGGATGCTTCGAAGAGCGGGACAGTCGCGACTGTATCCGTAACTTGGTATCCCAATGCCGTGCCTAAGGGGAGAGTGACGGAATTCAACAACGGCGGCGACATTCAGTTACGAGCACGTACTTACGGTCCCGAAAAAGAGAGCCAACGTCGCAAGTTTGACCCATATTTGATCTGGGAACAGTACCCACGTCCTCCAGATCACTACCCCATCACTGATGATCGTCTGAGAAGTGAAAATTGCCTGTCAATATCGAGGCCGGAAATATGGAATAGAGAGTACACACCACTAGATGCGGTTCCCACTTCTGGACAGTCAATCTGATTGGAGCCCCTTGTTCAACGACACGATTCAATGTATCCTGATTCAACACTCCGGCTGAATCTATCAAGATACCCTTGATTTGCATGGCGTAGAATGTCACGAAAACGATCCAACGTGAGGTCGAGAGGAGAAAACTTAGAACTGTGGTGACAAGCATTACTTGAGTGGCTCTGCTTTTCAAGCCCCGTTGGCTGCCGCCGCATGTGAGACTAATTTCAAGGGAAAGGAAGTAAGGGACGAACATAAGCGTAAACGTCGAGATGGCGAAAAGCAATGTGAACATCCCTGGTAAACATACTTATCAACTTCAGAGATCGAAGACGGTCGCAAACGGGGTGACGTACCATAGAATACCGTGACTGTTATGGTATTCTCTAGGTTATACAGAAACACGAGGCCTTTGCGGTGAAGAATCGCACGTTCGTCGGGCGTCATGTCTATAGTGGAGTCTCACTTTTGAAGAAGAGACGGGGTGTTTGAAGTGACTTATAAGTCATGGTTGGGCGCGCAGGAACGCGAAATGCTAAATTGACGTGTGCGGCCATACACGGGATGCCGAGATCACTTGCGATGAGATAAATTTGATCGTTCGGATGTGGGGGCTGGAGGCTAGGCCCCGTTCGTCACAAATCCCCTGCCAAGACTATCGCAATGCTTTGATGAGCAGCGATGTTGTGAAAGGGGTTGAACCGTGGCTGTGCTTTACCCTAATATTCTCCGTGATTCGCACACGTCGAGAAGCGACAGCTGGAAGTACACGTTAAAACAGGCAGAAATTCTTAAAATGTTTCCAGATTAGTACTCAGGTGCATCTTAAGGTTTTCGCGCAGGACGGAACACGTCGAGGGGGTGGAAGTTTCTTATATCAATCGTTCCACAGCGATGGAGCTGTACTGATTTGTCATCGGTGAATGAGAAACACCGACGTCTTATGACATCGGCTTCGAGTGAAAGCGAGTAATGGCCAGAGACTGGGGGGTACTAAGTAGGTTCCAGCTGAAATGGGTCGTCATGCACCACCCCTCGTTACCACCAAAAGTTTGACGAAAGGGCGCCCGACGAAGGGTTGGCGGAGGGACGGAAGGAAGTCTGACAATTTGCGTTGACGGGGGTGGAACGCTCCGTCGCTCCATTACGCCCATAGGATTCGGCGCCATAACAGTGGAACTCTGGCGCGACATGAAAACGAACGAGGTGAGGATAGAATGGCTCACCATAGCATGGGTAGTGACGTGGAAGCGGAAGGTCAAAAGACGATAACCCTCGTCAAGGTTAGATGCATCAGGCTGAGGGGCTCTCTGAGGATGTACATTCGCAATGGTTGATGAGGCTAGATAGGATGTCCATAGTCGGACCGAAGCTCTGCTACGTTGATCGAAGCGTTATCATCCGCCACGATGACACGATCGAAAGTAGAGAATGCAAAATCTTGGACAACGCTGGTCAGTCGATTCACAGCCACGGTTCCGAGAGTCTTCGGGTAAGTCTTATATAGACACTGCAAGGTTTGTTTCCGAACTTTCGAGAACGCCTCGCGTCCACGAGCGAAGCGTATTGCTATGCCCATGAGCCTTTTTTCGAGACCAGGTCAGATGCGTGTCCACCCTGTGGCCGTGGCTCAGAGAGGGAGGTGATTGACAGCGAGAGATAGGTACGTACCGCGCTCTAGCAGTTCCGTCGCACAGTTCACAGATGGCACCCTCGGATTACGACTCGTGTCGACTTCAAAGTATCACGGATCCGTGAATTCAGTGCGAACCCTGTTTTGCGCAAGCCAGTTGAGCAACCTGCCAAAGAAGTAGTATGTGAATGGCGCATACGGGGTCCATCGATACTCTTTCCGCTTCCGATCCTCTCGGGCATGCTTGACGGCCACGTTCATGTACCGTTTCCCGCATAGTTATGCTTTCTAGTTTGGTCAAAGTATGAGAAGCTTCGACCATGAGATTGTATGACAAACGCCTCACTTCCGACATGGGCGCTGTGGACACGACTCTCTCCTTTACAGAAGCCCTCCATGTGCCTGTTTAGTCTCTGACAATTGCACAGGATCATTTGATTGGTAGACTTCCCAGTGGTCCCAGACATCCAAGATCGGTCGTTGTGTCTGGACTCTGAACCACGAAGGCCTTGAGCACATCATGACCAATTCCAACCTGAAATTCATGACTCACGAGTATGCGGACCCGCCCCCTCTGTCAAATCGTTGCAAAATTCAGCATCCACAGAAACTGAGCTCGAGCTGGGACCCTCGCACATTTTCTCCTTGTTCAGCATGGACCTTGGCGCCGGCGCGGATATCCCTGTTACCACCTCTCCCCAATGTATCCCCATCATATCGACATTCCAAAAGTTTGTGGGTCGTTGTCAAGCTCGTACGAATGAGTAGAAATATACCTGAGGGTCAAGTTGTGGCGATGGCAGACCTCGATGGGTCGACGCGAATGGGTAGGTATGAGTATGAGGGAGATCAAGACTTGACGCCGTCAAGCAACATGGACAAACTTTGTCGATAAGAGTAATCTCAAGATCTAATCCGATAACTGGCCTGCAAAGTGGCGTGTCACCCATCCATCTCCAGCTCTATCTCAATTAACCTAGCTTAACTGCAGGCACGTCGGGCACCAACAGCATCACCCTCCCCAGTGAACGATGGAGCTAGGGAAAGTCTCTAAACGGCAGTGGACACGACTTATATGAGCAGAAATCGTCATCTTTGTCAACAACGGGAATAATCCGAACCCGTATCTCCAATACAGAGTAAGAAGGACGTCTTGGACCATATGCGCGTCAAAGGGCCGAAGGTCTCCAAGACCGCCGGGTGTGAGCGCGTTTATCCTTTTTCTCGGGATAGAGCCGGTATCCGCCCATGTAGCCAAATGTACAAGGGTGCCGGACGACGGGAAAGCCCATGCGTGTGCGAAGCCCCTCCGATGGCTGCAAATTCGTGGACAAGGTGAGCGGAATGTTCGAGCCCGAATACCAGGCACTATCGAATGCTTTCACGTGCAGAAGGGACACAATGCAGTTGGGTGTACGGAGGCGAAGAAGATCAAGGTCTGACTCGAGGTGGCGGGAGGAGCGAGAAATCTCCCCGTTCTTAGCTTCCAACATGCAAGTTGGATCATCTTGGTGATTTGGGTCTGTACATGGATGAAGCCTTGATTGATCACGATGATATGCCCCTCGAAGAATCCAAGTATCGAGGCGAAATTCGCGGGATGCATATGAGGTGGTACGATGGTCGAGGTCGGAGAAGATGATATAAATGCTGAGAATCATAGACCCCTCGCGGAACTAGTGGGAAAAGGTATGGAGCGGCGGACAGAATGAAATTGAGCATCGGGTCGAGTCTCCGTTACCGTATGCTGCGATATAACGTTCCGCTGGATAGCTACTAGCGCCTGTTCCAGTGGGGACTTGCAAGAGACCTGGATATCCAGTGAATTTCGATAGAGAGCTAGGGTCTGTGCTCGGCCTCCGCCGCGAGCTCGCCGTGACTCTCTTGGACACATTCGCACCTCCACCCCAGCTTGCCCAGGACCATCTGGGCGTCAAAGGGCCCAGAGATCAAAGGGTGTGAGCGCCTACCACGGGACTACCTGAGATAAATATTCGCCTTCAAGTTCATTTGGTGTGTAAAAGGGACACAATGCGGCCGGGTGTACGGAGGCGAAAAAGATCGTCGTCGGGGTTGATGATATGCAGCCTGAGATTTGCAAGGATTCAGCTGTCAAGACGAGCGTGGTAGGACGAGAGAGTAAGATGATCGAGGCTGGAGAAGAGAATTAGATGATCGATCCGCTCATGAGAGCAAAACGAGACGGACTGGACTTGGAAAATGCATGAAGGAGAGGCCATATCGAGCGCCGGTCCCTGGTGATGATCTATCCACATGAGTCGGCGTCGTCGAAATCAACAAACTCCAGATGAACACCTGCACACTGCATTCAAAGAAAAAGAAAAGGTCCGGAGGCGCCCATTACAAAATTCAACACTTTCTGGACAGAGTTCCGGTACGGGGAATCGAACCCCGAGCTGCCGCGTACCCAAACGGATGACGATCAGTGAAATGAAAGGCGGCAATGTTAGCCGTTACACCATACCGGATTATGAAGGTGGGGGTTCACGGTTTCCCTCGTTATGTGGCCGTGTCGATGGACGCAACGGACCAGGATTGGACGACGCATACGACGTGCGATGCTCGAAAGCGGGCGGGACATCCCACTGAAGGCGCCAAGGGTTTTGCATCATGTCCAAGAGGTGGAGATGGATCATGTGCCAAGGAAAGTCGAGGAACTGAACGCCTGCCGAGGCTCTGGGCTCGAGAGGAAGGAGCTGAGGATAGATTGAGAAGAGGGCTGGGTATGCTGCGGCATACCAAGGCGATGTCGAGGATGGGAGGATCTTTGTTCCGTGGGGCGGCCAAGGATGTTGACCCATTGGTTGGGCGATATCACCGGTGTGGAGGTGGATAGATCCGACTCATTGTAATATAATTGATATTGATATCGAACACGACAGTCCATAAGGGAGGTCAAGGAGAGATCCGTGCGTAGAGTTACAATGAATTTTATGGTGTGTGGCCTGACGCGACGACGCGTTTCGATCGATGAGCCGATGTGGCTTGATCCGGAATGCAGCCAATCACGAGGTAGAGATGGTGTCACGTCATCGGAGTCGGGACGAGTAAAAAAACCTGTGCAAAGCGACTCTGCCCTCGACGACACAGACGTCTCTTCTGCAGGGGCATATACTCACGCCCACGCCCACGCTCCGATCCCCGTGACGTAACGCCTTATCGTGGCTTCGTGCTTATCTTCTGCCCCAACCCCATCTGCTCCTTGCTCTCTATCATGTCCCACGGGTCGTACTCGTCGCACTCTGGATCGGTCATGACGGAAGACGAAGAGGACTGGGAGGACTACGTCAAAGGCGGCTACCACCCCGTCAAAATCGGCGACACATTCTCCGACGCCCGCTACGTCGTCGTCCGCAAGCTCGGATGGGGCCACTTCTCTACAGTCTGGCTCGCGAGGGACACAAAGTGCGTCCTCCATCCTCCCTTGTAAAATGAGTATGACCTGATCGGGGCCCATCGCGCGCAGGATGAACCGCCACGTCGCGCTCAAAGTCGTCAAGTCCGCCCCGCGATACACCGAAACCGCGCTCGACGAGATCAAGCTCCTCCAGCGCCTCATCACCTCCTCCACGCCCCCCTCCACCTCCCCCACCCCCACCTCCCCCACCGCAGCCCCGCCCCCGCCCTCCCCAGCACACACCCACCCCGGCCGCTCGCACGTCATCTCCTTCCTCGACCACTTCCGGCACAAAGGCCCCAACGGCACGCACGTCTGCATGGTGTTCGAAGTCCTCGGCGAGAACCTCCTCGGCCTCATCAAGCGCCACCAGAACAAAGGCGTCCCCATGCCCCTCGTCCGCCAGATCGCTAAACAAGTCCTCCTGGGGTTAGACTACATGCACCGCTGCTGCGGGGTGATACACACGGACCTGAAGCCGGAGAACGTGCTTATATGCATCGACGATGTGGAGAGCATCATTCAAGCTGAGCTCGCTGTGGCACCGGCCCCCGCACCGGAGGCGGAGGCCCCGCACGTCCCGCATGCGAGCAAGCTCACGGGGGTCCCGCCGAGCAAGGGGCGAGGCGGGAACCAGACCCCGCGCTCCGAAAGCGTGTTCATAACGGGCTCGCAGCCGCTCCCCTCCCCCTCCTCCATGACCTCCCTCTCCGCCTTTGCCGAACGCGCCACCACCACCGCTACTACAAGCCACTCCGCGAGCAGCTCGTACAGCGCGGGGAGCCCCATGATGGACCGGTGGGCGTTTGGGATGAGCCGGATCGAGCCTGGGGCTGCGGGTGCGGCGAAGACGGAGGGTACGAGCACGAGTAAGTCGGGGGAGAGGCATTCGGAGGAGCTGCTTGCGAAGGACGTGAGGAACGTTTCTATCGCTGAGGGAGGGCCCAGCGAGGACATGGAGAAGGAGAAAGACAAAGACACGCGCGCCGGGTTCGTAGGGCGCGTCGGCGCCGGTCCCTCCCTCCTCTCCCAGCTCGCACCCACCGAGGCCTCCAAACCCATGCCCATACCCGGTGCCACCGGCGCCGGGGGGATGAGCGTGGACGAGGCTGTCGCAGCGTTCTTACAAGAGGGGGAGGGGGAAGGGGGAGAGGTGGAGGGGACGGAGAGGATTACGGTGAAGATTGCGGATTTGGGGAACGCGACGTGGACGGAGCATCATTTTACGGATGATATTCAGACGAGGCAGTATCGGTGTCCCGAGGTTATACTTGGGGCGAAGTGGGGGCCGAGTGCGGATATTTGGAGTGTGGCTTGTGTCGTGCGTTCTTTCCTTCCTTCCTTCGTCTTTCCCTTCTCCCTTTCCGTTCCACCTTTTTCCTCCTTTTTACTTGAGCATTGGGCATTGGACATGACTGAATGTATGCGCACCCCCCCAACAGATATTCGAGCTGATCACGGGGGGCGACTACCTGTTCGACCCGGCGTCGGGGTCAAGGTATAGTAAAGACGACGACCATATTGCGCAGATTATGGAGCTGATGGGGGAGATTCCGAAGAGCATTGCGTTCTCGGGGAAGTATTCGAGTGAGTTTTTTAATCGGAAAGGTGCGTTCCTGTCTCTCTTTCCTCCTCTCTCCCCCAAAAAAAGCAAAAAAAAGAAAGAAACCTAACGCACCCCCCCCCTAGGCGAGCTCCGCCACATAAACAAACTGCGCTACTGGCCCCTCTCCTCCGTGCTACACGACAAATACCTCTTCCCCCCCTCCGACGCCGAGGCGCTCTCCGCCTTCCTCACGCCCATGCTCCGGCTGCACCCGGATAAAAGGGCGAAGGCGGGGGAATTGGTGCATCATAGGTGGCTGGAGGGGGTTGCGGTGCAGGGGGAGATTGATGTGATTAGGAGGGCGGAGAGGGAGGAGAAGGAGGGGGGGAGGGGGGTGGGGGATACTACTACGTTGGAGGTTCCGGGAGAGAAGGAGAAGGAGAGGGAAAAGAGCAAGAGTCGGGAAACGAGGGAGGCCGAGAAGAAGAAGAAGGAGGAGGCGGTGAAGGAGGTGCCTGCCCCGGTGGTGGGGACGACGGTCGGAGTGCCGGCTGGGGAGGGAGCGTTGACAATGAGTGAGGTGGACGCGATGAAGCCTGTTGAGGAGGTCCCCGGCGCTGTGGCGGCCGCTGTGTCGCCGCCGGAGAGTCAGGGCAAGGGCGGGGGGAAGGAGGGCCCGAGGTCGACGTCGGGGTCGGGGTCCAAGTCGGGGTCGGCGAAGGGGAGGACGGGTGGGGGAAGGAGATGAGGTGGTGCTGCGTTGGTGTTGTGTTCTGTTCTGCCCTCCGCCGTCTGTGTTCTCGGTCCAGCACCTGGGGGATAGATTCCCCCCCCTCCCTCACGAGCACCATCACGTGCTTTCTTATTCCCCCTCATCGCAAATCGCCTCGCTTGCCCTCGCCTTACCCTCGCTTTACCCTCGCCTCGCCTTGCCCTCGCCTTGTTCTCGCCTTACCCTCGCCTCGCCTCGCCTCGTCTGTTCACGCATACAAGTACAGTTCACCCCCGTCGTTCAAAGTTATACGTCCCTCGCCACATCCAATACAAGATAAAGAAAGGACAGCTGCTTCGCTCGCTTCGTTTCCCCCACCCGTCACGTCCCTGCACCCCGCCCTCCCCTCCTCCTCCTCCAGTATTCCCGCCCCGTTCGCTGCTATACGATATGCATCCGTTCCGTTCTGTCCCATCTGTTCCAGTTCCGTTCCGAGACAGCAGTTCATACCCCCGTTTCCCGTTCTCATTTCTCATTTCTCATTTCTCACAACGCAATGATCCATTCTCATCCTCTCCCGTTCTGCAATGCAACTTATATCGACTGCGCACACTGCATACATGATACCGGTACTTTACAAACCCCCCGACCTTGAAAGAAATACTTAGTGTAGGTTGTTGTATTGTACGTGTACGTGTACGTGTACGTGTGTGTGTGGTTTTTTAGATGAGATGTTATTTTGATGTGTGGTTTCTTGGTCTTTTGGGTGGTGTGTGGTGTGGGTGTTATTTTGTGGGTCTTTCGGCGAGGAAACCTATGCTGCTATCTTTGCTAAGCCGCTTCTTCGAGTTGGTGGAGACTTGGATCGTTCGACCATGTATATTTGGGACACTATTGAACATCCTTTCGAACCTGTCTCTTATCAATTGCAATAGCTCCAATCTATGGGCCTTGGACGGACCGTCCTGTTCATTTTCTGGGATCAGGATAACTTCTAAGAGACCGTCCAATCCCTGCAACGCTTCTTCGAGAGGTTGATGTATCCGTTCTCAGCGGTTCGGTTTGCAACTCGCTGCAAGAAGCATCCCGACGCCTATCGTTGTCGACCTCATCATACGACACAGTGGTTATAATCCGCCCCATACCAGTTGGCCTTGAGGTGCTCGACGGTCATGTCTCATGTAGCGGCACTTGACCAATAGAATCCTTTTCTGGCAGGCGCGAGGGCGGCTTACAGGTCACTAGACATCTAAAACGATAGAAGGCTTCATCTGCGCCTACGAAACGCTCCCGCATCGAGCTGCGAACCCGCATTGACCTCCGGCGACCGTTCTGAGCCTGGCGCGTACCTCCGACTGCTCCAAGCATCGTCCGTAGCCTGTTTTCGCATGTATTCTTTCGTCTTTCTATCTAAGCATGGCGCCTTCGCTCTTCAAGAGGCCGTGGCTCGCACGAGGGTATCGAAGTCTATCCTCCCGCGGCTCCCTTCAATCCTCTTTTCTTAATTTGAGGCGCAACACTTCGAAGCCGAGCAGAAGGGTTGAAAGTACACAGCCTGGATAGACGACGCGACATAGATCGTGGAAAGCCAGAGTAGATTCTCATCAGTATTCTAGTGCTCCAAAAAGCAGATAACAGTAGGTTCATGCTCGAGAGGATCGGGATGGCGGGCGGCATGAGAGCCTACATGAGCAACACCGGGATTACTGTGACTGAGATCTCCGTGTTGTTGAGGGCGAGCATGGCGAACGCGCCCCACCTTATAAATCCATCGAATCAGGTTGCGGTACTTGTTCCTTGTATAAAGGAGCTC